ATTACATATGCCTGAGTGTTTTTGTTTTTTGTTTTTTTTTTAAAAAAGCTAAAGTGAATAGAGAGAAATACTGTTAACTGATGGTACATGGAGGGGATTATAATCATTGTAATGAAACAAGGTGTATGATTTGTTGAATTTAAACTCATGATCTGCCCTGTAAACTTTTACTCAAACCGGAAAAAAAAAAAAAAAAAACCTTAAAAATAAATAAATGCTTTCTTTTGCAAGCCAAGGAGGCCTGGTAGCATACTGAATTAAGTGTTGGGCTTATGCTAACCACAAGGTCAATGGTTCAACCCTACCTGAGGAAGGAAAACGAGGTTATCTGCTCCTGTAAATATGTACAGTCTCAGAAACTCTAAGAACCAGTTCACTCTGCCTTATAGGGTTGTTATGAGTCAGAATCAATTGGATAGCCGTGGGTTTGGTTTGGGGCTTATGGTAAGCCTGTAAGATTTAGGGATGTTTATTACTACAGCAAAAGCTGATGAAGACATAAAATAAGATAGAATTACTGCTAGCTTTTTAGAGTCGATAAGAGATGGTCTGCAGAAACGTCTCAGTTCTCTTTACTGTACTCAAGAAAGGCTTGGGAAATTATTTCTTCTATGGAAATCACTTTGTGTCTTAGCATTTCCCCAACTCCCACAGTGCACTCCCTCAACCTGGCCTCTGTCTTCATCCTACTGACTCACAGCCATTACTGCTTCAAGAAAACCTATCACCGAGGAATCGCAAGTAAAAAAGGGCATAAGACAGCTCTGCCATGGAGAGAAATCAAGTTCTGATGCTTGCTATAACATGAATAAATCTTGGAAATGTTGTTGCTGTGTGCCATTGAGTTGGTTCTGACTCATCATGACCCTGTATAGAGTTTCCAAGGAGCAGCTGATTGGTTTGAACCATTGGCCTTGCAGTTAGCACTCCAGTGCTTATCCTACAACGCCACATCAGGACTCCTGATGTGAAAATATTAGCTGAGTGAAATAATCCAGTCACAAAAAAAAGAAATGCAAGTACTGTACAATCTCACTTATGTGAACTAGACAAACAAAAAGCAAAGATTACTAGTAGAATGATTTTAAAAAGGATAGTGAGAATTTTTGGACAACTTGAAGAATGTAATCAATGTCACTGAGCTATATGTGTAGAAATTGTTGACTTGGCGAATGCTTTGTTGTACATATTTTTACCACAATTTACCAAAAAATGGGAGGAGAAACAGGCCAAAAAGTCAAGCTATGCCCTAGTTGCTGGAAACCCAACTGAATGCTCATCCTCCTGAGGACAGACCGCTGATTGAAGGGGACTCACGTCATAGGTGACCTCCTCCACCTGGTCCTTCTCCATGAGGAACACTTTGGAGACCTGCTCACAGGGTCCCTGGAGGATTCGGGCAATCAGCGGATAGTCGGTGCCCTTCAGTTTCTGTTTCTCTGGAACCACACACAGTCAGGAGCAGCCCTGAGTCCCACCCAAGACCCTTCTCACCTTAAGTATTGGTTAACTCAGAGGCCCAATCAGACCAGGCATCTTAAAAGATGCAGCTATAAAAGTCAGGGGCCTGATTTATAAATACATGATTCAATAAATGTTATTTAAATAATACCCTCCCAACCCCCAATATATTACCATGCCTCCAACCCATTGGGAGGTGCTACGTTACAGGAATTGCTTTTGTCTGTCCCTCAAGAAAATCCAGCTTCTTTAAAAATAGTCAGTCAGGTTTCGGGGTATGATTACTGACCATATATGGGATTCCCCAGTAGCCACATCCAGCAAACCCATCAGCCTTGGAGGCAAACAAGGCTGAGGTATTTTCTTAACTTGCTATTTTGAGTTAATTAAAAGCTTTAAAGTACACTGTGTCTTCCAACTTACCACCGCTGGTATGGACAACGTACAAAGCAAACTCCTCTGGTGAATTCTCTATCTGAATTAGGAGCAAAAGAGTTGTTTAAAGTGCATATGTAAACATCCTAACTGTGATTTATCCCCTCTTCTTTAATGATGCCGTTGTTGCTAAGAGCTTTCCTGTGTGTCCTGACCCATAGTGACCCTGTATATGTGTAGAAATTGTTGACTTGGCGAATGCTTTGTTGTACATATTTTTACAATATGTGTTAGAGGCTGTAAATCTGTCCGGGAGCAGACAGCGTTAACTTTCTCCCATGAAGCAGCTGGTGGGTTTGAATCACCAACCTCATAGTTAACAGTCAAGTGCTTATCCTACAGTGCCACACCAGGACAACCTCTCCAACTCTGTTGGTGGTGGTGTTGTTAGGTGCCATGGAGTCAGTTCCGACACATAGCGACAGAACAAAACACTGCCGGTTCCTGCACATCCTCACCCTTGTTGTTACGCTGCATCAATCTCCATAGAAGTCCTGTTAAAACAGATTTCCTGGCCTCACCTCAGGCATTCTGACTCAGCAGGTCTGGGGCAGGGCCTGAGAAGCTGCTGTTCTAACAAGCTGTCAGGTGAAATCAATGCTGCTGATCTGGGCTTTTGGCCTTGAGCAATGAGGATCTGAACAACCCAATCCCCCGCCCCACCACCACCAAGGTACACAGGGCACTTGCCTTAAATTTGTTAAGCAGCAGCTTGAGGACCTGCGGGGTAGTCATGGTGCTATTGATGCGGACATTGGTGACGGAACCATAGGCCGGTGTGAACACTGATGTCTGTCAACAGAGGGGTCCAACTCAGGTGGGAGGGTGGATAGGACGGCGCTAGAACCTAGGTGTTCCTGCCCTGTACCCGACCAAGCCGCCACTGAGCAAGTGCCCAGAAGCATGCTTGCTTAGCTGAGCCTAGAAAATTGGGGTGAGAGGAAATGTGCTTCTGGAAGCTCAATACTGCTGACAGTCTGGCAAATATCAGACTTTGGCAGGCATCTAACCCAGGAGTTCATGTCTCCCACAAAAGCTTGAGGGTCTGTGCTCGCTAAGTGGCAAGGCTGAAGGGGAGGGTGGGAAGCAATAGGTGAGGCTCTTGCCCCAAAATAAAACACTCACAAAGACCCTTCTACTATGTACTCAGAGGTTTCTGAGCACTCTCCACAATGATTCTGGAGCTGCAGGAAAGAGGTATTGGCCAGCTCAGGATGGGGGGCATGCACTGAATTCCACAAGTCTGAACCCCAGGAGCTGTGCATTGGAGCAGCCTTTAGCTCAGACCCCAAGCTTGAAGCCAGGGTTGCAAGAAGACTGGCCAATTGGGGTCTGATGAGTTTATGGGGTCCCTTTATCCAGCCCCTGAATTCATCCAGGGGGGCTGCTCAGGGCTAGGTCTTTGATCCTCACAGAGCCAGCAGAGCCTTCCGCCCACCCACAGGACTGAAAACTGCACCGAAAGCACTAGGCCCTCGGGATATCCCACCAGGGAACCCAAGATAAGCCCCCCTCTCTGCTCCACCTTATGATTGTAGAAATGGCCATTGATGGAGAAGCGGTGGCGTCTGATTCGGCGCTGGTCACTAGGTGTCCTCACGTTGCCGCGGCGACGCACCCCCACATCACTCCGGGTACGCATTAGCTGCGGGGTGTCTTCCTGCAGGGGCTTCAGGCCCCTGGTTTCTGAGGGAAGAGAAGGAGAAGGAGCCCTATTGGACGGGCCTGGGACATGGCAGCCTTGCATGTGACCTTCTCTCTGTGGAAAGAGCCACAGCAACCACAACCAACCGGAGCAGGTGATGCCTTCCCAAGGGATGCTGGGAAATGGTGCAAGCACCATTTCCTAAGGTGGCTTTGTCCAAAAACCCAACAAGTTTTAAAAGGAGGTCTCAGAGGCTATAGGCAGCTGGACCTGCCAGGGCACAATTTCCATGTGAGGCCCTGCTCTGAGAAAATGGGGATCTCTGCTGGGGAGTAGAGTGGGATCCAGGGGCCACACTGGTGGTCATGGACAAGTCTGCTAGGAAGAAATGCCAAATATGTATAAAGATTGCTAACTGCTGCAGACCTGGTGCATTCCTGCCATCTTTCCCTCCTTGAGCTCACCTGCAGCATCACTACCTTCCTGGCCAAGTGGAGGGTGCTGGGAAAGCTAAAGCTACCTCCAGGTTGTTGCAGAGACCCCCTTCTGCCCAACACTGTGACAGTGTAGTCCTAACCCAACCCACCCAGATGGAGACACTACCCCAGTCTTGGACCAACTCTAGCCAAGGGCCTTCTCCCCAAAAAGAAGACAGCTCTTCACATCAACACCAGAGAGTGGTTAGTGGGCAAAAGGTTCTTGGAGGGTTTTTCCAGTCTTTGCTCCAGGAGGTTGAAAATGAGAAGGGATCAGCCCAAAGTAAAGAGGGCTGGAAGTGGTCTCAGATCTCCTGCCTGCCATCAAGTATGCACTGGGGCATCTCACAGGATCTAATTCAGGGGTTCCAGGAAACCCACAGATCCCTGCCTGAAGTCCCACTGGTCAGGAGACGTTCCACCAGGACAGGCACTGTCCTGTCCCTCATCATCCCACTATTTTGCCAACCTCAAGATTCCATAACCTGAGAGCAGCTGAAGAGTAGAAGGAGAAAGTGTGGAAGAGAGAGAAAAGGCTGGGCCAAGGGAGGGGAGGGATGAGAAATCCCTTCACATACAAGATGATGGTCTCCTTCTGTGTACTGAGAACTGGTCTTGGCCATGGTCTTGGGGGACACCAAGGTCAATTAGCATAACACAAGCCATAAAGACAATGTTCTACTTATTGACCTACTTTGATGAGTAGCAACTGCAGTCTTAAAAGCTCATGAGTGGCCATCTAACTATATTGGTCTCTCCCAGTCTGGAGGAACCAAGAGTTATGAAAAAGATGCAAACAATTGATTCAATGGACTAATGGACCTTGTGAACATTAGTCTCTGAAACCCTAAGACCAGAAGAATTAGATGGTGCCCAACCACCACTACCAACTGCTCTGAAAGGGTTCACATTGTTGCTGTTGTTAAGTGCCATCAAGTCGGTTCTGACCCATAATGACCTTGTATAGGGTTTCCAAGGAGCAGCTGGTGAGCTTGAACCGCCGACCTTGCAGTTTAAATGGCTTTGCAGTCTGGCACATTAAACCACAGCGCCATACCAGGACTCCAAATAGAGTATAGCGTAGGAGAAAATTGTGAAACTTGGACTCAAAATTATTTTCTCAAAAAAGGCCAGGCTGACTGGTTGGATAGAGAAGATGGAACCCTGAGACTGTGAACCTTAGTCACCTTCATGTCTGGAAATGAACTCAGTATCAGCTCAAACAACAGACAGGTCTGTCAGAGGAACAATAAAACCAGGGAGGTATACAACTTTAGAATAATCAGCTATTTGTCATTTACCCAATGACAAAATTCAGAGGGATTAGGAAAGAGGGCGAAACAGAAATGGCAAACACAGGGAGGAAGTACATAAAGGATGCTACATTGTGGGGATTGCAATGAATATGATAACCAAAATGTGTATGAACTGCTGAGTGGAAAATGAGTTTGCTCTATAAATGTTCATCCAATTCAAAATAAAAACTTCAAAAAGAAAAGAAAGAGAAATGCTGCTGGGTGACAATGTGGGTGCAGGAAGGGAAGGGAGAGTTTGCTACATGTGGATGGGCACAGAGCCAACCCAGACAGGGGCTGTTTCTCACCCCCACCCGGCTCCCCTTACAGGTCCTGAGCAACCTCCTGTCCATTTCCTCCACTGATCAATAAGAGGTCAATCTTCGCTTGGACCATTGCCTCAAAAAATCCATGTTTTATAAAACAGTGTGTACCGCTAAGGGGAAAACTATAACATATATTTTACTGGGGAGCACAGTGGCTCTGTAGGATACACCACAGGGTCCACAGTTCAAGTCCACCAGCCACTCTGAAGGGAAAAAATGAGGCTTTCTGCTCCTGCAAAGATTTACAGCCTTGGAAACCCTATACAGGGCCAGTATGAGTTGGAACCGATTCAGTGGCACTTACCATCAACAACAACATACTTTACTGGGAGTCCTGGTGTGGCACTGTAGGATAAGCACTGGGCTGATAACCACAAGGTTGTTGGTTCAAACCCATCAGCTTCTCCTCAGAAACCCTACACAAGGCTGTAAAGAGTCAGAACTGACTTGACAGCACACAACAACCGACAGCACTTAACAATACTTTACTAGTTAGAAACAATATAGTGAGGAAGTTAAGAGCACACAGATTTTACAGCCAGATTCTCGTGTTCCAATCCCAGCTCCATCATTATCATATACACTTACTTCTCTGTTCCTCAGTTTGCTCGTCTATGAAATGGGAGTAATAATAGCACCCACCTGATAAGATTTTTAGGAGTGTTGACATGAGTTAATACATGGAAAGCACTTAGAACAATGCCTGGCACGGATCAGCACCACATAAGGGTTTACTAGCGTAGTGGTTACGAGTCGGGCTACTAACTTCAAGGTCAACAGTTTGAAACTACCAGCCATTCCACAGGAGAAAGATGAGGCGTTCTGCTCCTGTAAAGATTTACAGCCTCGGAAACCCTATACAGCATCCCAATAATTCGGAACCAACTCCACAGCAACCACCACTATTAGAATAAAGTCGAAAGGATAAATGGGCACTACTTTTAGAGCTACCAATGCCCAAAGCCTCAGACCCAGCAATTCCCTTTGAAGTCCCCTACAGATGCTGACCACTGTAAGACATGACATGTGTCCCGGGCCACTGACTGCAACTTTATTCATCATAGCAAAAGCCTAGAAACAAATATCTATCACCAGGAAGTGACTAAATCAATTGAGTGAAGGTGTTCTTTAAGGATCCATGAAGGGATCTGTGGGCTTCCTGGGACCCCTGAATTAGATCTTATGAGATGCCCCAGAGCTGAGACCACTCCCATTCCTCTTGGCTTCTCACTTTTAACCTCCTGAAGCAAAGACTGGAAAAAATCCTCCAGTGACCAGTCTGCAGAGTCGAAGTCCCAGTGAAGAGCTGGTAGCTACATACTACTGTGGTACATATATACAATAGAATACTACCTAACTATAAAAAATAATGAGTTCTCAAAACATAGCACAGATGAAATCTGGGGGACATTATACTGAGTAAAATAAGTAAATCACAAAGGGATAAATATTCTAAGGTCTCACGTTATAAAAAGTCAATTATAGGTACATACATAGAAAGCAATATTCTCTGACAATTATGAAGCTATGAGAGTAAGGCAAAGGGAGGTAGAGTCACTTTCTACATAGTAGACATTTGTCATTTTTGGTGATGGGAAAGACAATACCCAAGTCCTGGTGTGGTGCTGTAGGATAAGCACTGGTCTGATAACCATAAGACCAGTGGTTCAAACCCATCAGCTTCTCCTTGGCAACCCTATACAGGGTCACTATGAGTTGGAACCAACTCGACGGCACTTAATAACAGCAATAAGAATGCAGTGTGCACAACTTGACCAGTGAAATAAAGACACTAAGAGATACTCAAGAATAAGGGACAGTTTTGGTAAATGCTGTAACATACAATTTTGCAACAACAGTAATAACACCAAAAATATGTGTGTGGTGACATAGGTAAATATGTATGCATATATGTGCATAAGAAGGCACATGTGAGTACATATATGTATGCATGTATAAGCACATCTTTCCCAAATACCTACTGCTGTCGCTTCAATTCTGACTCATATCAATCTTGTAGGATCGAGAATTGCCCCATAGAGTTTCCAAGACTGGAAATCTTTACAGAAGCAGCCGCATCTTTCTTCTGCAGAGGAGCAGGTGGACTTAAACTGCTGGCCTTTTGGTTAGCAGCCAAGCACTTAACCACTGAGTTACCAAGGCTCTTAGTATACATGTTTGTATGTGCTGCATATATATACTCACATCACAGTAAAACACATGGGGGGCACAGTTATGAAGACTTTGTAGGCATATTCAAACATCTCAGGGATTGGTTTACTGGGTGAAAAGGCTTAGGTCCATGGTCTTGTGAGACAATCAGTCAATTGGCATAACATATCTCATAAAGATAATGTTCTACTTCCTGGCTTGATAGTAACATCTAGGGTATTAAAAGTCTGTGCATAGCCATGTAAGATACAACTATTGATTAGTCTCTACTTGTCTGGAGCAAAAGAGAATAAAGGAAACCAGAGAAAAAACTAGGTCATCCGTTGTTGCTGTTGTTGTGTGCTTCCAAGTCGGTTCTGACTCATAGAGACTCTGTATAGGGTTTCCGAGGAGTGGCTGGTGGGCTTGAACAGCCAACCTTGCAGTTAGCAGCCCAGTGCTTATCCTATAGCTCTATACCAGGACTCCTATGATACAACTATTGCGCTCTACTCGTCTGGAGCAAAAGAGAATGAAGGAAGCCAAAGAAGAAACTAGCCCACATGAGCTACAGCTTCAAAATGGGAGCCCAATTTGCCATGTAAACTTTCACCTAATAAACAATAAAAAAAGATTTTTTAAGAAGTAAACAAATGATATATTGGTATGTATTCAGTTGGATCATGGGAAGGAGGTTCTGCAGCTGACTCCAAGGAGAGAGAGACTCAATGGTGGGTGCGGATGAGGTGAGAGACTTCACATCTTTTCCTTGTAATATTTTGAATCTTGAATCACATGAATTTTGTTTTTTCAAAAACAAAATGATGGTCCACAATACTAACACAGCTGTCTCCACCCAGCCCCAAACCCAAAACTCCTCCCTGCAAGCACCTACCTGTGGGGCTAGGCATCTGGTCACTCTCTGGAGGTGCATCTACATCTGAGATCTGGATACTGGGCATGTTGAGGGGCTTCAGGATGGTGCTGGGAACAGAAAACAACCACAAGGGATGTCAGTTTAGCCCCTTCAGGGACTCAGCTCCCCCCCTTCTCCAAAACATGTGGCTTGTGCCTGGGCTGAAGACCAGCCTACATCAGGCGATGAAGGTGGGCTTGGTCGAGCATCCCACAGTGCTGGCCCAGCTCCCAGGCTAAGTGTGGAGGGTGGATTTAGGGGGGCTCTGGAGAGAGAAGATGCTCTTTCCCAGAATCTGTGACAGCACAAGCAACCAATTTAGCAAACCCAGGATGGAGAATCCCAGAAAATAAAGCCCATGTGTTGTACGTGCTGACTTTCCAAGCACTTACGGGTTCTACTGCTTAGTTAAAAAACCTTAATAATGACTATTTGTTTCTTGGACCAGGATTCCAGTTCATAGCCATTTCTTATGGAGGAAAACTCAACAAATACTTCGGGCATCTGGAGGAAAAGTGGAATGCAACAGGTTGGCTGCCAGAGGTCAGGCAGCTTTGGGAGGGACACTGATACAGTGCTCTCAGAGCTTCACGGACAGAGCCCTCAGCCAGGCAGAGCAAGGACCACAAGGAGGCAGTCTGAGTCGAGACACACACATACCTTTTCACAACCAAAGAGAACAATGGGGAAAGCTCAGAGAAACACGCCCAAAGTCAACAGAGGACTTGCCCAAACAGGAAGACACACATGCTATCAATTAAGACCAAGATGGCCAAACTTCATCTCTCATACTTCAGACATATTGTCAGGAGGGACCAGTTGCTGGAGAAGGATATCATGTTTGGTAAGGTGGAGGGTCAGAGAAAAAGAGGAAGACCCCCAACGAGGTGGACTGGCTAGGTGGCAGCATCGATGGACTCAAGCGTGGCAACAGTAGTGAAGTTGGCCCAGGATCGGGCAGTGTTTCGTTCTGCTGTGCATAAGGTCTCTATGAGTCGATACCAACTCGATGGCACCTAACAACAACAATGGGGAAAAGGACATCATGCTTGGTAAAGTGGAGGAAGACCTCCCAATGAGATGGATGGGCATGGTGGCAGCAACAGTGGGCTCAAGCTTAACAATTACGAGGATGGCACAGGACTAGGAGGTGTTTTGTTCTGTTGTGCATAAAGGTCACTATGAGTTAGAACCGACTCAACAGCACCTAACAACATGGTGAGAAGCCACCGCCCATCTGTCTGTTTTACTGTGGTGGCCTGTGTGTGGCGGTGATGCTGGGAGTTAGGTCGCTGGTATTTAAATATCAGCTGGGTCGCTCATGGTAGACGAGTCTCAGCAGAGCTTCTAGGCTATGACAGACTGGGAAGACAGGCCTGGTGATCTAACTTTAAGTACTTCTGAGAATTAGCCAATGAATGTCTTATGGCTCACAACAGATTGTCTAACACGCTTACTTTGGATACATCATCGGGAAAGATCAATAGCTAGAGGAGGACATCACGTTTGGTGAAAGTGAGGACCAACAAGGTCATCCCTAGTGCGGTGTGTTATGGGTTGAATTGTGCATGCTTGATGTCTTTGTCATGTTAATGAGAGGATTAGTGTACAGTGTGCTTTGAGTCTGTCCTATAAGATATAAAGAGAGTGGATTAGACAAGGGTGGGGGATATTAAGCCACATGAATATCACCCAGAAGGACCCTGGATTTAGACGTCTAGCCTGTGAGAAGATAAAAGTCTGCGGCATTTCTGTTAGAGCAGCACTGGCTGGCTAAGACAGATGATCAGCACAAGAACCTCAAGGATGGACTCAAACATGCTGGTGATTGTGGGGGTGACGCAGGAGCTGGTAACGCTCATCGTACTGAAGGTCACCACAATTCAGAGTAGACTCAGCATCAGTGAACACAGTGGAGACAGGTCTCATGTTATCTGCTTGATGGTCTCAAAGGAAAACAATACAATGAAAATGGAAGATATGAAGGAACTTCTTATTGCAGTAGCACGCATAGACTTCTGAACCTCAGAACAGATCCTCTCAGGAAAGGGGAGTACAGGCACCCACAGAAGGCACTCCCCACCTCCTCATCTAATACCCTGCCGTAACACTGGGGCCCATGCATTCACTTTATTGAAGCTGGCATCTAGGATGAAATTATTTACCAGTCCTGAAACTCTCTAAAAGTACTTACACGTTTCAAGAGTCACCAAAGCCCAACTAGATGCCACAGGGAAGGAAGTGGAGGACCTTTGACGGGTTCACCAAAGGGTATATAACCCAAACCACTACCATGTAGCAGATGCCGACTCATAGCAACCCTGTATTGGATTTCTGAGGCTGTAAATCTTTACAGGAGCAGAAAGCCTCACTTTTCTCCATGGAGCAGCTGGTGGGTTTGAATTGCTGACCTTGGGGTTAGCAGTCCAGTGCTTATCCTACAGTTCCACCAGAGCTTCTTTTAAAAGAGCTTATGTTGTTGTTGTCGTGAAGTGCCGCTGAGGTAGTTCCAACTTATAGCATCCCTCTATGGAATTTCAGAGGAGCGGGTGGTGGGTTTGAACTGCTGACCCTGTGGTCAGTAGTCCAGTGTTTACCTTACAGGGCCATACCAGGACCCCAAAGTTCATATAATCAAATGAAAAAAAATTTTTTTTTTTTTTTAATTCACTGAGGGAACGGAATGTAACCTGGTCTGGGGTTGGGGTGGGGCCGTGAAGAGGGTTTTGGCTCATTTGAAATCAAATACAGTGAAAATGCAGAAAGCGAAACAAAGCCTGTGAAATCCAGCAAAGCGAGTTGAAACCAAAGAACTCTGACCCGAAATCCTAGCTCCCCATGGGCTGGGCAAGGACCTTTCTGAAATTGCCTTGGACAGAAACCAGATCAATTCCAGGGTTTGGCCACATTGGAGACTTCTCTCCACATCAGAGAAAGAGATTTGGCTGTGGAGTGTAACAAAATGTTCAATGCAGCCAAAAGAGAGGGTTTGGTTCTCATTTAAAATGGCAAAAACATCCCTGTGGTTTTGGCCAAGTGGTCACCTCCCTCCGCCCAGGTCCTAGCCCCAGATCAGTCAGCATCAGCATGTTTTAGACTTGAACAAGGCTTGTTGCTTGATCCTAAACACTAAAGTCCCCAAAAGCCAAGGTAATGGGTTTGCCTTCTTGACATACTTTGGCATCTGGACCAGAAAAAGAGAAGGGAGGACCAGCCTGAGTCTCCACAGACATTCTAATCGGGACCCTGGGACAACACATGGTCCAAGAAGCAGACCCCTGGTCGGTCTAGATTGGCTGACTAGTTGGGATCAGCCTTTCTTCCTCCTCTTCCAGATGCCCCCAAGTCTAGGAGAGCTTTGCTCCGAGCTTTTCCAGAGTGGAACCATTCTGTAAGGAGTCAGGACCACAAGTGTCCCAGTGGGGAAGGGGTTGAGGTACCAGGTGTCCTATGAGAAATCTGCAGCCTGAGTTTGGCTGGCCTTAGCAACAGCCCTGAGACTCTGGAATTCTCCATGAGGGAGGACACAGCTTCCCCAGGCCTCGGTGTTTCCCCTCTCTGACTCAGCATCTCCCCTCCTCTCTCTGACTCAGCATCTCCCCTCATGACTGTCACAGCGTCTCTCACTCCGTGATTGGAGACACACCACTGTCTGCCCCTCTCTTCTCATCCTCAGCCCAAAGCAGGTGGCAATGGTGGCAGTGGGTACAGAGGCCACGCCAGGGGTGGGCTAGAAGAAGGTGGTATTTACCAACTGGAGAGCACATGGAACTCCCCCCACCCTGTGGTCCCCAGACACCCCTCAGCCCCATCCTTCTCACTCACCCCTGTGCCCCCAAGTTACAGCCGGAGTGCCAGGAAGAGGAGGAGGGTGGGGGACGGATGCGCTCATTGTCATCCTGCATCTGGAGACGGATGGGCCGGCGCAGTCCCCAGGAGATGTTCAGCAGCCCCTCCACGATGAACTCATCTTCCTCCTGCCCATAAAGCAGTCAGCACCATGAGTCCAGAAGAGTCTTGCAGAGCCCAGCACCACAGGTGGGGACAAGTGACAGAAAACTGGACATGTCTTAGCTGGACATCCTGAGATATGTCCGTGGGAAGGAACTGTTAAGTGCCATTGAGTCGGTTCTGACTCATAGTGACCCTGTATAGGGTTTTCAAGAGCAGCTGGTGTGCTTGAACTGCTGAACTTGTGGTTAGCACTCATCCTACAGCACCACATGAGGGCTCAGCTAGGACATAGGTTTAGTCATACACTGTAGGCAGATTAAAAGCAGCATTTCCCTAAATTTACTCGGCACGGCACCAGCTCCTCCAACAGATCGACTGTTACCTTAGAAAAGGTGGCATGAGCGTTCATGAGTTGGGAGATGGCCGAGCTTCACTAATCAGATTCCTTTACAACAGGACTGTCCAGAGGCTGTAATAAACTAACGTGCTATATTATGAATCTTCAACAGGTGAATAAATCTTGCAAGAGCTCCAAATTTATACTCATGCATTGCTGACGGACAAGAAGCTAAGTATGAAATCCTTCCAAGGTCATTTATAGGTTCTATCCTAAAGAAATGAATCTATTAACAACCCTTTCATCATGGGGTATTCTGATGTATTCTATAGGACACACCCCAGGAAAGCTGTTTAAGGGTCATGGTCTTGTTCATGACCCAATCACGAATGAAGAGACTCTTTGAGACCTCATGTTTTATGGACAGGCCCACAAGGGTCAGACCTGGGTCATAGCCACATCATTAAGTTACGCCCAGTGGGTGAAGATGATCATTGTGCATTCAGCAGCTACTCTGAGTCCTAGGATCACTGTGGGAGAGGGAGCGAGGAAGAAATCAAGGCAGAAGAGCGAAGCAACTTTAGGACATTTTGGAAAAACATGGGGGCACAGACATGATTTCTCCACAGTCTATTATGTGGCCTTCCAGTTTGACAACTAGAATCATTACTTCCTAATACATGAATGTAGGACAGAATTTAACCCAAAGTAGAACTTGACCTAAGTGAAGTGGTTTGAGGGACATTTAAAAAAGGGCCACTGCCTCCTAAACACTATCCCCAACCAGCCTGTCTTAGTTGAAATTCCACCACTTGATATGTGTTACTATAGATTAAATCTCAATGGCTTGATAACCTGAAAATGTCCTTAGAAATGTATTACACATGCCTTCTTATCAGTCAAGAACACTTGAGTATAAATTACGCTACCAGGGTTCCTTTATAACTTGTCACCTATCTGATAACAGGCTCTACAGAAATGGATACAAGAGGAGTAAGCTTAGGTTGCAGATAGGGGTTGGGACAGACAGATGGTTAACAAAGAGAACTCCAAAGAAGGCACCTGGAAGAAGGCTGCAGTGGGGGAAAGATCCAAGCGTTACCATCCAGAGCTTACAGAACTTGGCCAAGTCACTGCAGCAGTATGACCTAGGCTCAGTGATTGAGAACTGAGCAGGCTTCTTGGGTTGCCCAAGAAGAGGAAGTCTGCTTCAGAGCCATCTGAAAGGGTCATATCATGAGACCCTCCCTTTGGAGAATCCCCACTCTGGAACTGGTGCTAGCCCAACCACACAGCCATAGACATAAAAAGTCCATCCTTCTTAGTATGAAACTGCCCTTCTACAGAACCCCAGGAAATCCTTCTAGCATCCTAAATGAGAGAGAGGCCACTCAAGGTGGCAGGAGGGGCAGGGGCATCTTGGAACCTCAGGACTCCTTCAGACCCAAGACACACGGAAACAAAGAATAGGCTGGCCCACCTGGGAAGGAGCCACACAGCCCTACCGGGGAAGCCTTACCTCACGGTGTCGCAGCTGCAAATTCTGGCCTTCATAGTACAAGTTGTAGGTCTTCAGGTGCAGGAGAAGCTCATTCCTTAGAGGAAATACAAGTGATGTTAACTTTCTTGGCCGGAGCTACTTACATGCAGTTGTGGCCTTTTTCTCACCTCCAATTGTCCTTTAGCCACCCCACTTTGGGTGCTTGTGGGTATACACGTGTGATGTATGCAGATTCCTGCTACCACCACTCCACCACCATCTTCCCCCAGGAACAGCGTCAAGAGCAACCATCACTAAAGAACAGACCGAGCTTAAGAAGCCACTCTAGAAAACAAAGGCAGGCCTCATTTGCTGACAGAGGCTGGAACCCCTGACAACACTCCCTAGGGTCCAACAAGTCACGGTCACACAAAGGCAAACATGGCCAAAGCCCTGCCTCATCCATGCTGGGAGTTAAGAAGGGACCATCATTGCAGGTCTTCACAAGACTCAGAAATTTCCAGACTTTTCCAAAGGTTAAAAGAGTATGATCTGTGCCCCACTGACCTATGCCTCAAAGACACGATTTTATCATGTGTTCAAAAACTTGAAAACTCCCATCAACAGTGGAATGGATAAATAAAGAGAGGTATAATCACATAATGACGTGCTGGTGGCACAGTGGTTAAGCAATGGTCTGCTAACCAAAAGTTTTGAGGTTCGTACCCACCAGCTGCTCCTGCAGTGGAAAGATTTGTCAGTCTACTTCCACAAATATTTTCAGCCTTGGAAGTTTGATGGGACACTTCTACTCTGTTCTAAAAGGTCACTATGAGTTGGAATGAACTCAACGGCAGTGAGCTTGGTTTGGTTGTAGTCACACAATGCAATGCTGCAGGGTAATGCGATGGAATGCAACATAAGTTGAGCTGCAAGGTTGGAGGTTCAAACCCACCAGCTGCTCCTCAGAAACCCTACACAGGGTCGCTATGAGTCGGAACTGACTCAGTGGCACTTAACAACAACAACACACACAACACAGATGAATCACATATAGTATGCAGAGTGAAAGAAGCCAGACAGAAAGAAGCACATATGGAATTATTCCATTTGTAAAAAGTTGGAAATTCAGGATTTTAGAATTTAGAATGTAATTCACCTTGTGGGTTAATCACTAGACATGTTCACAAAGGGGTTTCTGGACCTTGACAATAGTCTACCTTGATCTAGGTGCTGGTCACACTGGTGGGCTCAGTTTGTGAACATTCAGAAAAACTTACTGTCCCCTGAAGTCTGGGTTCAAGCCTCCTTCGCTGCCAACTACAGCTCTCATTTGGTTATAGTACTGGTAATGGTAAGGAGCTCTGGTAGCGTAATGGTTACGAGTCAGCAGTTCAAAACTATTAGCTGTTCCACAGGAGAAAGATGAGGCTTTCTGCTCCAGTAAACATTTAGCTTTGGAAACCCTGTGCAGGGTCACTGTGAGTCGGAATCGACTCCATGCCACACCACCACCACCACCACCACCACTAGTAATGGTGTATGATGGACTTCCCACCTTTGTCATCAGAGTGCTTCCTTGCTAAACCCATGAATATTCTAGAAGCAACTTTATCTAGCACTGATTGTTATTGCATTCCATGAGCTTCAGCAGCGAGGGGCCCACTGATCTCAGGAAAAAGGCAACCAAGTTCAGTCCCTCCCTCTACCCTCAGCTCTTCAATGGAGAGATTTTAGGCCAAGTCAGGACAAACCAGCTGGAAATTCCAAGAAGCTCCTGACAAACCTAGATCAGCGGGAGGAACTGTATGAAAGCTGAAACGAATTAGTGAAAAAATGTGCTTCCAGATAACTGAAAACATAAGCGGTTTAGTACTTCTGAGCACATAAATCTGAAAGGAGGACTTAATATTACTGGCTGGTTGAAATCCTTGGGGAAATCCTTCAATAAAGACAATACAAATTATCTGTATCCTGCAAAAGTGCATGTATGTAACTTTCACTCAATTCACGATAAAAAAAAACTAATAAAAAAATAAAAGCGTGTATGTAATGAACAAGTGTGTCGGGAGGGCTAAAAACAACTGGTGTCGAGTTAACTCCAACTCATGAGGATTCCTTGTGTATCAGAGTAGAACTGTGATATGGTCTTCAAAAGGCTGATTTGTTTGGCAGTAGATTGCTAGGTCTTTGCTTCAAAGAACCTCTGGTGGACTTTAGCTGCTAACCTTTCCATTAGCAGCTGAGTGGGTTAGCCGTTACACTACTGAGGAGCTCTAAAAACAACCTTGTTGGTGGTGTTAGTTGTCATTCTGACTCTTGATGACCCCCAGGGTTGCAGAGTAGAAGGTTTTCAAGGCTGTGACCTTTCTGAAGCAGATCACCAAGCCTGTCCTCTAAAGTGTCCCTGACTACCTTTCAGTTGGTGGTCAAGCAATTAATGGTTTGCACCACCACAAATTAAATCTACATTTTAAAAAGAGCATCCAATATGTTGCACAATGAATATGTGCAGGACATAAAAAAACAAGAACAACATACCTTCAAGCTTAGAATTTGAAGAAAAAAAAACAAGTTTGGCTCAGCTTCTGTCACGTTAGCAATAACTTAGCGTTCAAGAGGTTTCAGTGCATACAGAACAATAAAGCTGGCCTTTCTGTTCAGAGGAACCACAGCAGCGCAGGGGAACACCATTGCAGGACTCCCCCAGGGGACATCACAGACAGGACACAAGTAGCCACCAGCCACCTCCTGCTCTAGGAAGCCTTCCAGGACCCAACTTTTGAGGCCCTATAGGTGACATGTCTTGAAAACCACCTCTTCACTTCCCTCTCCAGGGCCAGGCTCTGGGGGTGAGTTTTTAACTGTAGCAGTGCCTTGCTGATTGATTATCTCACTGGTCCAAACTCGTTGGATTAGCTCCTCGTCTCACATAGGAGCCCCAGCTCTTTCACGTACAGAGAAAGCACCTGCCCCTGCTCCAATACACCTGCAGTGTACCCAACACAGGATTGGCCCCCAGAGACATAACACTCGAGCAAAAACTCTTACTTGGAAATGTATTTATCTTGTCCGCAAGGGACAAGAGACGTTTGGTGGCTGTAGTCCATTCTTTCCTTCTCTTCTCATCAAAAGGTGAGGTCTGCATTTGAAAGAAAGCAGAGGTTAGCGTCTGTTGGAATTTGATGGCACTTGGAGAGAAGTGCAGGAGCAGAGGAAAGACAAAATCAGACTACAGGGGTCTCTGTCCCTCTGCTCCACATGTGGGCTGCCCGTGCTGACCCAGAGCTAGTAGGACAACTACCTGCTAGCTGCAACCTCCACTTGCACAGGCACAGAGAGCTAATACCCAAGGAGAAAGGATAAGCCCAGGACAGTCAGAAAACAAGTCCGGCGCAGTCTGAGAACAACCGCTGCAGTAGCCAACTCAATGTGGACCACTGAGTCCTGCCTGGAGGGGCATTCACAGCACAAAACAGAGACTGACTCATGGGACTGGGACTAGCTCCCCTGAGAATGTCCCAACAGGGATGGGTGCAACAGATCACCATTAAAGCATGATCCTGAAAAAGTAAGTCATCGACTTGGAAAATAATAGTTCACTATGAAAACTCAGGAGTCCTGGTATGGCACTGCAGGTTAATGTGCTAGACTGCAAGGTCAGTTTGAACCACAAGGTTGGCAGTTTAAGCTCACCAGCTGCTCCTTGGAAACCCTATACAGGGTTGCTATGAGTCAGAATTGACTTTAGGACACTTAAAAACAACAACAACATATATAGGCATGCATGTGCACATATTTTACATTTACACATATTTTAAACAAAATTGGGCTTATAATCTATACATAAGTTTGTTTGTAAGCTTGAGTTTTCATATCTTTGCTGTTGTGAAGTGCCGTCAAGTCAGCTCCAATTCACAGTGACCCTGTATAAGGTTTCTGAGGAGCGACTGCTAAGTCTGAACCAACACTCCTGCAGTTCAAACCGACCTTGCGGTCTAGTACATTATTCTGCAGTGCCACACCAGGACTCCATGTATATATATGTGCATGTATATATATGTATATACACGGGGTCCTGGTGTGGCACTGCAGGATAAGCACTGGGCTTCTAACCGCCAAGTCAGTTGTTCAGGCCTACAACAGCTCTTCAGACCCTATATAAGGTCATTATGAGTCAGAACCAACTGCAAGGCTCTTAACAACAACAACATATTTATATGGGTGGTGGTTGTGTGCCATGGAGTCGGTTCTGACTCATAACACCCTGCATAAGGTGTCAGAGAATGGATTTATGGGAGCAGAAAGCCTGTTTTTTTTCCCTTGGATCAATTGGTAGATTCAAACTGCTGACCTTGCAGTTATCAACCCAACTTGTAACCCACTACACTACCAGGGGGTTGTTGTTGTTGTTCAGTGTCATCGAGTCAGTTCCAACTCATCATGACCCTATATAGGGTTTCCAAGGAGCGGCTGATGAGTTTGAACCATCGACCTTGCAGTTCAAACTGACCTTGGGTTGAGTGATTGTCCTATGGCACCACAAGTGTATCAAAAAAAAAATATGTGTATCAAAAAAAGAAGGGAAAAAAACAAAGAGCCAACTCATGGAAGGCCCATGTGTTATAAGAAACTGCTCCATGGGATTGTCCTAATGATAATTCTTTTACAGAAGCAGATCACCAGGACTTTCTTCTGTGCTGCCATTGGGCAAATTCAAACTGCCAACTTTTAGGATAGTGATGTTGTTGTTAAGAGCCGCTGAGTTGGTTCCAACCCATAGCGACCCTTGTATAGGGTTTCCAAGGAGCCACTTGAGCATGAACTGCTGATCTTGTGGTTCAAACAGACTTTGCAGGGCAGCGCATTAACCCACAGCGCCAAACCAAGACTCCAGGAGAGTAGCTGAATGCAAACCATTTGTGACACCCAGGAAGCTATATGTGTTTATACAACAGTTTCTCAGTCTCAGCACTGTTGAGCTTTGGGGCTAGATAATGTTTTGTTGTGGGACTAGCCTGTGCATTGTAGGATGCTTAGTGGCCTCTACCCATTAGATGCCAGTAACACCAGGCACCAACACAGTCTCGACAATCAAAAATGTCTCCAGACATGACCAAACTGCCTCTGTACCAGCCTCTGTTGAGAACCACTGGTATATGTTTATATGTATTAAATGAACCAAAAGCTTGCTCTCTTGAGATAATAGCTTTCCTAGTGAATTCTTTCAACATTTTACTATGAGAATTTTCAAATTGTGACAGTAAATATCCATCTATCCCCTGCTGGATTCTATCCTTCACATGCTACTATATTTTCACAAAGGAGCCCTGGTGGTACAGTGCGTTAAGTGTCGGGCTGCTAACCTCAAGGTCGGTGATTCAAGCCCATCAGCTGCTCCATGGGAGGAAGATGAGGTTCTCTGCTCCCATAGAGATTTACAGTCTCAGAAACCCTATAGAGCAGTTCTATTCTGTCTTATAGGGTCAATGAGTCTGAATCAGCTTTAAGGCAATGGACCTTTAACCGACCTATTTATATGGTCCTTTTCCAACTAACTTCTTAATGCATTTCAAAGAAAATGGTAGACAGTGATCACTTTCCCTTAAACACTCCAAATCACTGTGCTTCAAATCATGACAATGAATTCAGCATGGAAGAGCACTAGACTACAGACCACAAGATTGGCGATTCACACCCACCAGCTGCTCCTCGGAAACTCTATAGACGGTTGCTATGAGTCAGAATCGACTCGAAGGTACTTAACAACAACATATTTTATTGCAGCAAATATATATGCATCCAAACAATTACCATTTCAACCATCTCCATGTGTATGGATCAATAGCATGATGTTCATCCCATTATTCATCCATCCCCCTTAACCATGCCCAAAGAAGTGAGTTTTCCTCCCCTTCTCCCTCCCACCCATCCCTTATAACCACTAATCAACTTTGGTCTCTATACACTTAACCTATTCTAAATATTTCATGCAAGTGGGATCATAGCCCCCTTTTAAATAATGTTTTTGTTTGTTGTTATCAAGTTGATTCCAAGTCATGGACACTCCATGAGTATAGAGTAAAACCGCTTCACAGAGTTCTCAGAGCTGTGAGCTTTCAGAAGCAGATCACTAGGCCTGTCTCCCAACATGCCTCTTGGTGGGTTCAAACCTCCGACTTTTCTGTGAATAGTCAAGTGCTTACCCATTAGCGCCACCCAGCGACTTGGCACTGTGGGTTAACGCACTGGATTGAAAAGTTGGTTTGAACCACAAGGTCTGCAGTTCAAGCTCACCAGCTCCTCTTCAGAAACCCTATACAGGATCACTATGGGTCAGAACCAACTTGATGGCACTTAACAACAAGATGAAAGCAAAAAGAATTTAAAAGTACGTGGCTCCAAGGCAGGCAGCAGGAGCTGGATGGAAGCAGTGGAGAGCATCCTGGGGGAAAGGGAGTCCTACTCTAAGCAAACAGAAGCCCTTTCCGACCCACCCAACTCCCAGGGGCTTCGAGGATGTGGTGAAGGGGCCTGGGGCCTCAGATACAGTCAAAGGTGCTCACTGCTCATCCACCAAAGAAGCTGACCTCTTCTTCCCTTAAGTCTGGGCAGAAACTAAGTTAATAGGAGCTGTTGTTGTTGATCAGTGCCACCGAGTGGGTACCAACTCATAGGAACTCTGCACAACAGAACGGAAAACACTGCTTGGTTCTGCACCAACCTCACAATCGTTACTACACTTGAGCCCACTGCTGCTGCCACTGTGCCAATCCAACTCATAAAGGGTCTTCCTCTTTCTCTTTTTCTCCAATCCTCCATGTTACCAAACATGATATACTTCGCCAGGGACTGGACCCTCCTGACAATGTGTCCAAAGTATGAAAGATGAAGTCTAGCCATCTTGGCTTCCAGGAAGAATTCTGGCTGTTCTTCCAACACAGATCTGTTGGTTCTTTTGGCAGTCCATGGTACTTTGAATATTCTCCTCTAACACCATAACTCAAATGCATCAATTCTTCTATGATCTTCCTTACTCTCTGTCCAACTTTCACATGTATATGAAGTAATTAAAATACCATGGCTTGGGTCGGACACACCTTAGTCCTCAAACTGACATCTTTGCTCTTGAACATTTTAAAGAGGTCTTGTGCAGCAGATTTGCCTAATGCAATACATCATTTGATTTCCTGACTGTTGCTTCCGTGAGTGTTGATGGTTGAGCCAAGCAAAATGAAGTCTTTGACAACATCAATCTTTTCTCCATTTATATGGATGTTATTTATTGGTCTAGTGGTGAGGATTTTTGTTTTCTTTACACTGAGGTGCAACCCATACCGAAGGAGTCAACATGGGGGCCCTGGGTTTGTGAGATCTGTGGACAATATGGGCTCTCATCTTTTCCACTGCTGATGGATGAGCAAAGATGTTAACAGGCCACCAAAGATGCTGCTAACCAGGAATTTCAGTTAGGGTCAAGGTTAAGTGCCTTGGAATGGGGACACTATCCTGGATCATCGGATGGACCCACTGTCATAATTTGTTGTTGTTAAGTGCCATCCATCAGTTCCAACTCATACTGACCCTATATAGAGTTTCCAAGGAGTGGCTGGTGAGTTTAAACTGTCAACCTTGCTGTTCAAACTGACTTTTCGGTCCAGTGCTTATCCTACAGCGACACAGCAGGACTCCACTGTCATCATGAGGGGCTTAAAAGTGGAAAAAGGAAACAGAATAAAAGGCCAAGTGATTTAGTGAGGTCTCAATCCACTGTTGCTGGCTCTGAAAATGGAGGAAAGGACCACTAGCCAAAGAATACAGGCAGTCTTTGGAAGTTAGAAAAAGCAAGGAAGCAGATAGTTTCCTAGTGATGAGAGTCCCACCAACACCTTGGTTTTAGCCCATTGAGACTGGTAGATTTTTAACTGCTGACCTTGCAGTTTGCAGCGCAGCTCGTAATACAGTTCCCTACCAGGACTCCAACATATATATATAACTACTGGTGTGGGGCTGTAGGTTCAGCATTGGACTGCAAACCAAAAGTTTGGTAGTCCAAAACCAACAGCTGCTCCTCGGAAACCCTATACAGGGACGCTACGGGTCAGAACCGACTGGACAGCACTACTGCCGACCTTGCAGTT